TCCTGCTTTGGTCTATTCCAATTTTTGCATAATTTACTACTTTACCTAATGTAAAGTGTTACCTTTCTCTTGGTACAAGGTTCATATGTAGGTAGACATTCAGGAAACAAGAGAGTGTCATTTGTGGGTGGACATGCTTTTACCAACTCTAGGATAAGAAGAAAACATTTGATTGTTGTTGTTCTTAGTTAATTCATATATTACATCTTCTAGATATTTCAAGCACAGTATATATAGTGTAATGTTTTGTTTCTGGATATTTTTCTGTAAGAAATTTGGTCAATATTACTTCAATATACACAATAATTTTCTAGGGATCAGGGTGGTAGCTCATGTTTATAATTCCAGCTACCTGGGAGTATGAGATTGTGAGGATTCCAGTTCAGGCTATTATGGTTCAGGCTAGCCTGGCCAAAAATGTGAGATGAATTTGAAAAATAACTAAAATAAAAATGGCTGGAGGTGTGGCTCAAGTGGTAGAATGCTTACGTGGCAAGAGTAGTTTATGAGTTCAAACACCAGTTCCAGAAGAAGGAAGAGGAAAGAAAAGGCAAGTGGGAGATGGGAGGAGGGAGGAGGGATGTTGGAGGAGGAAAAGGGAGAAAAAGGATATGGAATTAGGTGTCTTCTCAAAGTTCACGTTATTTTTGAAATATCTTTGTGAGTTTATTTGGCTTTGTAATATGATTTATTTCTGGTTTCATGTCTGCAAAAATGTATGTCTATATTCATAATTATTGTGGTTATTTAAAAATTTGGAGAATATTTAAAGAAATATTCTTTCCAGAAGATTGAATTTTAGTCTCTCTTTAATTAGCAAACCACCATCAATGACAAATACACTAGCTCTTTCAAAAAGCCTAACCTCAAGTCTGTCCCTACATATTTTCCATCTTGACATCTCTTTTGGTTTAAAGAGACCACTTCTTAGACTGTCTCCCTCCTCCAGACTCTTTTGGAATCTTTCTGGGAGAATTGCTTTTAACCAGCTGTCTTAACCCCGGGACACAGCCAAAGCCCTAAGAGCATGCTCATCATTCCCATATGGTTTAGAGTGACATGAGCTGACAGTTCATGACCTGATAGTTCATTCACTAATGACTTCTTGTGATTCATTTGGTTTACTTTGATTTTAGTGACTTCAATTTCATGACCTGTTTAATCACATTTAAAGGAATTATTAGTTCAAAATGTCAAGGCTAAGCTATACTAAAGACATAGTCCTCTCCAACTGAGACTTCTAAAAAAATGCATGGAAAGCTGTGCTGGATTGTTAAAAATATTTTAGATACCAAGATAATAATAAGTCATTTCTAGCAATGAATGTTTGTTTAAATGTATGGAGTTTTAAGGAAAGGTAAGATGTATCTAAAATTCAATGATACCTCTCTAGATTGCATTCAATCATTCAATATCTTTTTCAATGCATTCTGAGTATCAATTTTTTCCCACTGTCTTCTGAGGCAAGATCTTCTTGCTATGTAACCCCATGCTGGCCCTAGAACTCACCCTTTTCCTGCTTCTACTTTTCAACTGCTTGGATTACAGGCACTATTTCTGGCAGACCTGGAGATGATTCTGAGAAGCTTTATCTTAGTTTCATTATTTTTTTTCTTTAAATTTTGGATCCTTGATTATATCCTGACAAAAGAATCTCATACTCAGAAATGCAATGAAGAATTTGGTTCAGCAACATAACCATCAGTGGAAGACCTGACTAATCTTTAACTAAAACCATGGTAGCTTATATTTTATTTTACCTTTCCAAGCTTTCAGCTCAGAGCTGTCACCATGGCCAACACATGGTTTAAAGACACAATTAAGCAAACATTTTCAGCATCTGTTACCTCATGCGCGGTAGGCATGAAAACGTGGCTCCTGTGTCCCTCTTCTAAATCAGTTTTTCTGACATTAGAAATCAAGTAGCTGATTGCAACTCTTATGGACCTTTTAGAAGCCTTATAAATATTTGCATTAATTTCATCAAATAATAAAAGATTGTTTTCTGCATGCAGAAAATATTTCAAGTAGTTATATTTCTAGTATTATTTTATACTTTATTATGTGATTTTTTATTCTCTTTAATAAAAAAATAGGATAAAATGTAATGTTTTCTTCATTCTACAGTTTTAATTATACTTATTCAAAGTGCTATACTTATTCAGGCAGAATTTTGCATATTATTACTCCATCATATAGAAAGATGAGTTCTTGCTGGGTGCGGGTGGCTCACGCCTGTAATCCTAGCTACTGAAGAGGCTGAGATCTGAGGGTCACGGTTCAAAGCCAGCCTGGGCAGAAAAGTCTGTGAGACTTTTATCTCCAATTAACCACCAGAAAACCGGAAGTGGTGCTGTGGCTCAAGCAGTAGAGTGCTCGCCTTGAGCTGATGAGCGCAGGGATAGCACCCAAGGGCAGCCCCATGACCGATCAAAAAAGAAAGAAAGAAAGAAAGAAAGAAAGAAAGAAAGAAAGAAAGAAAGAAAGAAAGAAAGAAAGAAAGAAAGATGAGTTGTTATATTCTCCTGTTTAGGTTTTTATCATTTTTAAGTACATACATATATATTTCATATAAAGCTTGAATATGTTGTGCATGTTGGTTTTCTCAGATATACTATAACATAATTATCTTTCAATATACTGCATAGCCTTCCATACAATAAATAAATAACTAAACACATAATGAATTTAAATTGGGGCTATTTCTTTTTTAGTTACATGCAATTTGACGATCTGTGTTTATGTGTGTCTTTTTATTCCCAGTACTAGAACTTGATCTCAGAGCTTTGTGCTCTTGTTCAGTTTGTTTGCTTGGCTAGTGTTCTATTTTTTGAGCCATGCTCAAAGTGTAGCTTTTTTCTGATTATTTTGGAGATAGGAGTTTCAAGGATTTTTCTGCATGACAGATTTCAAACCGTGATTCTTGAGATTTCAGCCTTTTGAGTAGTTCGAATTACAGATGTGAGCCATTAGCTCTGTAATTTTTTTAAACAAATGTTTTTATTATCACTGGACAAAGTATTAAAAGGCCTAGCCACCTATTTAAAGGTTTGTTTCTTTAAGCACTTATTTGACAATGAATCAGGTAAAAATACTCCAATAACTGTACTTTGTAGAGTATATTATAAATATAAACCTTTTGACTTAATCTGTTCATTCTATACATCCCAAATGGGTTTTAGAGTCAAAGTAAATATTCTACTAGACAATGCCACAACACTTTAGAATGATCAACTGCTTGAAATAGAATATTTAAGTTAGAACTTGTAAATGAGATATAATTACAGCTCTAAGGATGGAACATGCTATAGTAACATAGTCTGAGAGTAAATTCTTCCCAGCATTCTTAGTATTGATATAAATGTCCAAGTGGTGAGCATATGTTTCAGGAATGTTTAATGTTTTTGTTAGCAGTTGGACAGTATTTGCCTTATTTTAAGGGGGCTCTGTCATAGATCAGTTGATACTTTCTCATGTCACTACTGTACCTTCTCCAATATATTTGATAGGATACATAAAAGTTTTGAAAAGATGACCTATACATTCAATTGCCACACAGCATCAACATTTTAACACAACTTAGATCAGGAAGAGCATTTTCTAGAAGCACAGAACATGTCATTACTATATAGCTGGAGTACACCAATCTTTGTAATAGATTTTGAGTTCTCTTAAAGTAACTCATGATGCATTACTGATCAGTTAGCAAAGCTATAGTTTAAGGAAACTAATATTTTTTTCACCACAAAGAGAATTTTCTTTCTTTTTTCTTTCATTGTAGATAGATAACCCTGTTAAACAGAACTAAAACAATTGTGTTTTGTTTAGTAGAATTACAATTGTGGGCTAAGATTATATCCAGAGAGGCAAGAAAGTATGTTTTAATTATTGTACAAATTGTCTGGTTTCTTGTAGGATTTCCTCAAACTCAATTGCCATTGGTTTGTTTAGCAGAAGAAAGTTTGCTTGGATTTCTATCAGTATTGTCTATCACTGTATCATTTGAAAAATTTTGGAGAAATCCTAACATTCCGGTTGAGATCTCAATAGGTTAATCACAATCCAAGTAGTGTCATCCCAATGTTTGCTCCTCACATTTGGAAAGTTTTTTTTTTTCAGGAACATTGCAATTCCATAATTAGTAAGGGAGAATGGCATAAAAAATTAATTTCAGTTATTTTGTCAAATATTAAAGAAGTACTGTGGAAAGAAACAGATTGGTAATATATCAGGATAGCATTTAAAATGCTATCATAAATTAAGGAGAGGAAATACTGTTGCTTTTGAATATTTATGGTGGTTGCTTTTAACATGTGACTAATACCTTTTTGTTATTGTTGTTGTTGGTGGTGGTGATCATGGGGCTTGAACTCAAAGGCGTTGGCTGTTGTCCCTGAGCTCTTTTGCTCAAGATTAGTGCTTTGAACCACAACTCCACTTTCAGTTTTCTAGTGGTTCATTGGAGATAAGAGTTTCATGGACTGTTCTGCCTGGGCTGGTTTTGAACTGTGATCCTCAGATCTCAACCGCCTAAGTAGCTAGGATTATAGGCCTGAGCCATGAAGGCCTGGTTTATATCACTTTTATTATGATACAATGTATATTTTAAAGGGAAAACAAAACAGGTCAAATAAAGGATAGTCAATTTAAAATATCATGATTTTTTTTCTCTAAAAATTAGAGATCTCTCTTCAGAAGGCCTTGAAGCATATAACAATGAGCTTTCTGGTGGCTGTTAAACTCCAAGTAAAGAAAGCAATGCCAACTCTCATCCCATTGGAACAAAGTCCCCAAATGATCCTGAAAGTGTGTAGCTAGTGAGAGAGAATGCTTATATTTTGATGTTTTCACCAAATAGCCTTCAAACTTTGCAGTGTCATTGTAGGACAAAAGAAGTACCTACTTACCTTTTTCATCAAACAATACTCTGAGTGACGAAAAGTAAGGATCGTAGCATTGTGAATGGTGGAGCCAGCTGAAGCAGGCACATGGTGTCTTACCTTTTTCTTGCGTAGTCTGACTTGGCTCTCTGTGGGCTCCTGGGTGGTCAGAGAGTTCCTCAAGTGTAAACATAGCATGCTATCTTCCTTGCTGACCTCTGGGGGACTTTTGTTTTGATGTTCAGAGAAACCACTGTTCTCTAGGCCATTTTCAGTGGACAGTTCTCCAGGGCGGGAAGGAGGCTGCCGAAGGTAGGTTCCACAATCTGCTTTTAATAACGACAGGCCACCCTCTGCACAAGGGCTGGCTAAGGACTCATTTTGTACTTTGTGGCAGCTGTTTCTTTCATGTTCGTCCTTAGGGAAATCAGGTTTCCTTCGTTGCTGTGCAACCACAGCAGAATTAAGCATTTGTTTCTCTGGTATGTTTGCTTTCACAGGCGAAGAACCTTTGGGTGCATCTTTTGTTTTATTTATGCTTATATTATTACAAAGCTCCAGGCTTTTACTTACAGTATCAACATTTCTTTTTTCTCCACTTTCATCCACCAGTGCTAAGTCAGATTCCCTAGCTGTTCCCCAAGAGTTATAGGAGCCTTGCTTACTTTCCATAATAGGCAGTGTCTTTCTTAAGGAGCCTGCTCCATCGACACTGTCTTGGCTTATTATTTTATGCTCTTTAGTTGTTAATATGTCTTTATCACCTGTAAGGTACGGATCAGAATCTGTATCCTCATCCGAAATATGTACCAGTGTTTCTGTGCTGGCCTCCAGAGAAAGAAACTCATCTTCAACTTCAGGATTGTCATTTTCATCCACCTCCTTTGAAACATGACCTATTGGCCTCCCAGAAAAATCTCTCAACTCTGGTCCATGACAGCAATCCGGTAGTGAAGCACGCTTCTCTTTGCAGTCCACATTTAGAGTTGCATCTTTTTCCATACTTTCCTGCAAGCTTTCGGCTACAAGTCCATGATGACATGCTGTGTTATAATCATCAGAATTCAAAGGCTGTCCTGACTCTTGGGTCACATGCTCTTCCCAGCTTCTCTTTCTGATAGCTACAGACATGTCATTGTAGTTTAACAACAGACAGAGAGATATATTCCATATGAGGTGAAAGGAGATGGGACTTGAGGAAAGATTATTTCAAATTCACAAACAATGAGTTTTGTCATTTCACCACCTATTAAAAGATTTAAAAAATATAATTATGGATATATTTCTAAGATCAAACTACATCTTGGAAAACAGATCATCTAAACTGTACTATGAAGGCAGAGAGAAAAGACTTTAGAAAACTTCTACTTAATAGCTTTAATAATGTTGTTATTTTAAGAAGCAGTCTAATATAGGAAATTAGCAGTCTAATAGAGAACAACTTTGTATTAGACCATTAAAGACTAAAGGTGTAGATAATATAAACACCAAACAGCTTCAGTAAGAAAGTATTTGGATTGCAATTCTGAATACAAATCACTAGAAGAAACTTGTTGCTCTGGCTTGTGCCCTTTCCAGATTTACTTTTGTGAATACAAATCATTAACAAAAATCTCCTGAATGTTGGTTCAAATAGCAGCATGAGAAAACTGTATGTAGAAAACCTGGATTGCAGACACAGTAAGTGTATTAGTGTGTGAAAGAAGTAATATCAATCCAGAATGAGAAGGATGTATTTAATCTGGAAGTGACTAAGAAACTAGGAATAATCCAGTTCAGTTACTATTTACATGCCATTCATGGATAAGAATGCCTACATTCCATTTGCAATACATTAGGATGGATTCACCTGCTCATGCATCCTGTTATTTCTACTAGTTAGCATGCTAGTATTGCTAAAGACTGAAAAATAACTAGAAGATTTCTCTAAAGTAATATATCTAAGGTGTGAGTCTGTATCCACAGTCAGTCTTTTTTCTGAAGCCTAGGCTTACAAAGTTCATAATCTCCATGGAATTATGAGGGTCTACTTTCATCCATTTGCACACATACATGTGTGTATAAATTCTAAATCCCTCATTCAAGAATTCAAGTACACCCCCCACAAAAAGGCATGAGCATGTTAAGATCTAGGACTGATCTTTAAACACTCGTTTCATTTTTAATTATTTTTTAAAAAAATTTCGGTTTGTGTACTTGGGTTCAATTTGCCCATAAACATTTAAGTAGATGAGAAAAATCTCAGAATGTAAATGCTTCCCAGGTAAATTTCCCTTTGCCTTGAATTACTCAAATCTTTAGTTTCGGGACATTAGTTATATTAAACCTGATAAAAAATTGTCTAAACCAAATGTTGTTACACAATGGAAGCAAATTACCAGAATGTAAGGGAACCTCTCAAAGAGCCTTCAGGCTTCAGTCTTCCCAGGGATGCCAGAACACAATGTGGACTGGCTGGTTGATTTCAGCCATAGGCAAGATGAACTGCTCTACCAGACTGAGGTCATTTCAGTCTATTGAAAAGAAATCTAAGTCCTCACCAAAAATATCAGGCTATTCTGACTAAACACATGCCTGAAAGGTAAATATTCTCACTCTATAAAGATTAGAGACGTTAAGGAATGTACCAGAATGTTGGTACCCCTGCCTGACCAAATATCTTTCTGGATAATATTTGGTTCCTTGAGAGGTCTGTGGCCATCTTTGAAAATGGCCAGTGTTCACATTTTCCATGTTGGAATTCAGCGTGCACTCAAAAGAAAATATAAAGTCTCTGAATTCCATGCATAAGTCATTATAGTGTGGGAGGTTTAGGAAAGTGGAAAAAACACACAGAGGCAGGCCAGAAAATTTCTTCTTTCATGGGCAAATCTGGGTTATAATAGGGTGGTTCTGTTTTAGATGCTTTCTTTCCTTTATTTTTATCCAGTGTAGAAAAAGCAAGCTAACTTAAGAAATGCCAAATAGTATTACTCTGTAGTTCCTAAGCCACATTTACATTTAAGTTAAGGCAGAATTCTGCTTTCATTTCTTTTACTAAAAAGAAATACAATTTTATTAACTTCTTGAGGAAAAGAATATACCATTGTGTCCTTGAGGCCTTAAAATAATATTAACTTATTTCACTCAACAAGTAGGTCAGTATTTTTATCATGACAAAGAAAGATAATTCAAAAAGTTCTAAGACAAACTAACTGAAAAGAGATTGCAACTAGACACTGTTTAATGTTGCTCTCCCTCCCTCCTTCCTTCCCTCCCCCCTTCCTCCCTCCCACCTTCCCTCCCTCCCTCCCTCCTTCTCTCCCTCCCCCCTCTCAAGCCTGCCTCTCTCCCTCCCACTCTCCCCTTCTTTCTTTTGTGTGTGTGTGTGTGTGTGTGTGTGTGTGTGTGTGTGTGTGTGTGTGTGTGTGTGTGTGTGTGTGTGTTCGCGCACGCGCACACTGCAATATAGGGCTGGGTTGCTATCCTTGAGCTTTTTTTGATTTTTGTTTTTCTCAAAACTAGCACTTTACCACCTGACACTTCTGGTTTTGGGTTCTTAATTGGAGATAAGAATCTCGTGGACTTTTCTGCCCAGGCTGTCTTCCATCCTTAGATCTCAGCCTCCTCTGTAGCTAATAGTATAGGCTTGAGCCATTGACATGTGGCCATTATTTCTAATTTTGGTTCATTGGAACTTTCCAAATAATTTTTAAGACAAAATTCTTTAAGACAAAACGTTTCCTAATTATTATTACATTTTGAATACCCATTCCATATCCTGTGGTGTGAAAGACTGACAATAACATCAAAACAAAACTATTTTATCTCCACAAACTTTCCTGCCATACTTCCTGTTTAAATTTTAATTTGGAAGAATAAAGATTTAATGATTCACAAAAAAATCATTAGATTATTGACAATAGAATGAAAGCACACTTTCCTTATTTTCTAAATAACCTGAATTGACTAAAATCCACCCTGAAAGACAAATCCTTACAAAGAATTCTTCTTTTAAAATTATACCTCATATGACTGGTCATTTTTTAAAATTACATTTATTTCCTAATCCTTTTCATGCAGTTTCATTCAAAATGAGCTCAGCTGCTAGGATCTGGATAGAGGATTTGGAAAAGTGTAGGTCATTCCAGGGTGTTGATTTTATGAAGTGAATTTCCATGGAGAAATTTCACTTCTAAAATGTGTGTGTCCAAACTTCACTGTATCAACACCACTAAAGACAGTATGCATTTGGAGTCATGCAATGTTTCTAAAGAGTATGTAGGAAATATTCAAACTTGCTTTCTGTGATTTAAGGACATAGGATGTATAGACCCAAAGTGACTTCAGATTTAGTCTTCAAGTTAATTTTGTAATACCACACCCTAAAATTTTTTAATGTAATTTAAAAAACAGAATATCATTACATGTAAACACAGTAATTAGAGTTCATTGACCTCTGCTGGGCCCAGTTGGCACACGCCTATAATCCTATCTACTCAAGAGGCTGAGTCAGAGGATCTCTGAAACCTATCTGGGTGAGACTCTTATCTCCAATTAATCACACACGAACACAAAACAAAAACACTTGTGTTCAAGTGATAGATTACTATTCTTGAGCAAAAATGCTGAGGAACAGAGTTCGAGACCACTGCTCCCCCCGATTTGACCTCTATGAAATATCAAATGATTATGTTCTACTTTGTACTTGCTTCTGTTTTTTATTTTTGTTTTTATTTAGTTGGCCATGGGCTTGAACTCTAGGTCTGGGCGCTGTCCCTCAGCTCTTCAGCTCAAGGGGAGTGCTCCACCACAAGAGCCACAATGCCACTTCCTGTTGGTTAATTGCAGATATGAGTCTCCTGGACTTTCCTGCCTGGCTGACTTTGAACTGCCTTCCTCAGATCTCAGCCTCTTGAGTAGTTAGGATTATAGGTGTGAACCACCTGCTCCTGCTGTACTTGCTCTTGAAATAAATATATACACTATAATGTGTCCTGCCAATTTTTAAAAAAGAGCTATTGTTATGCTGCAGTTTGGGAGAAAAAAGGCAAAAATGAAATCTGTGGCTGAAATCAAGTGTGTATTACTATAGAACAGTAGTCAAATCATAATCACAATAAAACAATCAAAAAATATACAATGTGTTGAAGATATTCTTCTAAACATCAGAATTATAAAAGTAAATAATATAATGATGGGTGCCAGTGGCTGATGCCTGTAATCTTAGCTACTCAGGAGGCTGAGATCTGAGGATCACAGTTCAAAGCCAGCCCGGGCAGGAAAGTCCGTGAGGCTCTTGTCTCCAATAAACTACTAGAAAACTGGAAGTGGCGCTGTGGCTCAAGTGATAGAGCACTAGCCTTGAGCTGAAGAGCTGAGGGACAGCGCCCAGGCCCAGAGTTCAAGCCCCAAAACCAACAACAAAAAAAGTAAATAATATAGCCTATCATTATTCTTGGATTGTAGCAATTTTATGGGAGAAACTCATATTAATAAAAATACTAAGTCTTATCATGACCATAACACCACTGATAGGTACTAATGTCATGAAAAGTTTGCTACCAAGTGGGGGAGTTATCAACTTACCCTTCCTTCCTTCCTTCCTTCCTTCCTTCCTTCCTTCCTTCCTTCCTTCCTTCCTTCCTTCCTTCCTTCCTTCCTTCCTTCCTTCCTTTCTCCCTTCTTTCCCTCTCTCTTTCTCTCCCTTTCTTCTTCCTTCCTTTTGAGTAAATAGTGTTAGGAATATGGATAGGTTAAGTAGATATTCCAAAAGAGGAAACCTATGAATAATAATTTCAGGTCCTCTGTAGTAAATTTTCTGATTCTCCAAATGTCCAAATATAATGGAACCTTAAATATGGTTTTCTACTGGATGGAAAAACCATTCTTTTCTTCCTAATTTCAGATTCTTACTATTATGGAAAACATCACTGAAAAAGATAGTGCAAGCAACATCAAATCCTAGAGAATTATTTATAACTTAAAAATTGTCTCCACGGAGGGAAACTGCAGTTTTCAAGGACAATTCAGAGAAAAATTGAAGGAAGAAAATTTTTGATGAAAAAAAAATTTCCAGAAAATACCTCAGAATTAAGTTTTCAGTCTGAAGAGAGCCCATAGAATATGAAACACACAGGAAAAAAAACTTCAACAAGTTACAAAATAAGCTATGGTGAATCAAATAGAAAAAGTATGGTTTGTCACTTTTTCTGAAAAATACATTCAAATGACATCCATACATTTTGGGTTACAAAAGAAAAGTGA